TTAATATTTAGTTTTGCTTACAGTTTCTTCACTTTTGCACCTTTTGATGCCATTATGCAATAATTCAGAATGTTTGTGAAACACAACAAAATGTGTGGGAAATCAAGGTTCAAATGTAGTTTGGAAAAACCCATGTTAGCTTGGGTCACAACATAGTTAGCATGGTTTACTTGGGACCATGATCAACCCTCAAAAAAAGTAAGATAATGCATTTTAAAACTTTGTATAAAATTGATAGCCTGCATTATTTCAAATCAACAGTAATCTAAACCACACAAATCATGGGTTGACTGTATAAGATTCATACATTTTTATGAAATTATAGAGTAACAAGTGATTTTCAGTCAGTTTTCTAGTTAATTATGCTGTTATTTTTTTATCAGTGTATCATGAAATCTTAATAAAGAATGATTTAAATCTTGATATTATTTACTAAGAACAATTAAGATTTTTTCTGTTAATTTGTAAACTGTTGAAATGCCAAATAAATATTTGTTTTATACTACTGTAGGTGCAAATTAAAAAAATACACCGGCAATAATGGTGGTAAAGCCCTAGTCAGTCTAGTTACTTAGTATAATAATATCATTGTGGTACCTATAGTTAAGTACCATAAGGTAAAAGGAACACAGAGGTTCAGCTACTACTGCCTCAACAGCTTAAATAGTGATGAGAATATGTGTTGCTAGCTTGCTGGCTCACTTTTCCAATACTATGACTAACACTTATAAATAGAGTGAAGATTACCCAGTGAGTGAGCGGGGAATTGGGAATAGAGGAGGAATGGTGGGGGAGATGACTTTTGACTTGAGTGGGAAAGAAAGGGCAAGGCCTTAAGCGATTGAGTTATGATATAATGTCTGTCGAGCTGACTGGTAAAAGGAGTAGTTATATAGGATAGCTGCCTGTGAGATATGTAGTTATATGTGTCTGGGTACATGACCCTGGGTCTGGGTCACTGGGATTTTTCTGGCAAGGTTTGCACCAATTGATGAAAAGAAGTCATTGAATTCAGTTGCAATATATAAGTCTGTTGCAAATGTGTAATCATCTTTGGAAAGTTTTATCTGCTCTTTTGATCATTTTGATCAATTTTCTATTTTTTATTTTTTTTATTTTTGAATTAAATATTTAGACGTCTCTAGAACATTTATAGAATTGTCTCTGAATTCACGTAGGGGGTATTAAATAAGTCATCTAGTGGGAAGTTGTATAGTAGCCCCTGCTATTGCTTTGCTCTTCAACAAGTCACTTGAACTCCAAACCTTCCCAGATATTCTAAAAAAGCGAGAGTAACGCCTGTCCACAAATGTGGTAATCTCACAGATGTTAACAACTACAGACCTATATCTATCCTGCCAAACTTGTCAAAAATTTTTGAAAAACTAATCTATAAGCAGCTTTACTCATATCTAGCCAAACTCAATATACTTAGCCCTTGCCAATATGGCTTCAGACCCAAAAAAAGCACTAACGATGCACTTATTAGTATGCTTAACTCGATTCATACAGCTCTTGATAAAAATGAGTTCTCTGTTGGGTTGTTTGTGGACCTGCGTAAAGCTTTTGACACTGTCAACCACCAAAACCTTCTTCTTAAATTACATCATTATGGAGTCAGAGGACACTCCCTACAATACCTCAAATCCTACCTTACTGACAGGCTCCAATATGTTTCTGTGAATAATACAATTTCTCCCACCCTACCCATCAACATTGGTGTTCCCCAGGGCAGCATACTTGGCCCTCTCCTCTTTCTCATCTACATTAATGACCTTCCAAATGCCTCCCAACACCTCAAACCAATTCTATTTGCTGACGACACAACCTTCATTTACTCCAGTCCTGATCCCCTTGCTCTAAATGCCACAGTAAATACTGAGCTAAATAAAGTCCATCTGTGGCTAACTGCCAACAAACTCACCCTTAACATTGACAAAACCTTTTATATTCTGTTTGGCAACAAATCCTCTAATCAAATAAATCTCAAAATAAACAATACCCAAATTTGTAACAAATTAGATGGCAAATTCCTTGGCATTCTCATTGACCACAAGCTTAATTTCCAGGGACACATTCTAAACATATCAAAAAAAGTTTCAAAAACTGTGGGCATTCTTTCTAAGATCAGATATTATGTACCACGCCCTGCCCTGGTGACTCTCTATTACTCCCTTATCTATCCATATCTCAACTATGGTATTTGTGCTTGGGGCTCTACTACCCAAAATCACTTACGTCCTCTAATTACTCAACACAAAGCTGCTATTAGGACAATATCCAATTCTGGCCCCAGACACCACTCGGTACCCCTACTTAAATCTCTGAATATGTTAGACATTAAGTCACTGCACATTCTCTCATGTGTATTATACATATATAAAACGCTAAACTATAATGCCAATCCTGATCTCAAAAGCTTCATAGAAGGTTGTAACAGAACCCATGAGCACCACACCAGAAATAAATACAGTTTTGATATTCCTAGAGTACGACTTAATCAAACTAGAAATGCTCTACAAATCAAGGGGCCCAGAATGTGGAATGACCTTCCCAACCATGTTAAAGACTGTACCTCTCTCAACCAGTTTAAGATAAAAACGAAGCTATACCTAATAAATTCCCTGTAACCTACCTTACCCCTCTGTTGTCAACCCTTGTATGTTTTTTGTTTTTTTTTGTTTTTCAAATCAACGCTGTTTGAATGTAATTTTCTGTAATAATTTGTAATTGTATTTGTGCTGCTTTTTCAACAATGTTCCCCCCCTCTTTTACCTCTATTTTTATTTGTTCTCAACATATTTTATTCTTTTTACCCATTAGTTTTAAGCTTTAGTCATTAATGTTTTTCCTGCCCGAAACGTTTTGCCTAATAGTGGCTTTAGGCATTGTATGTACTAGCTCTATCTATTAAAAGCGAAGCTATACCTAATAAATTCCCTGTAACCTACCTTACCCTTCTATTGTCAACCAATGTCTGTTTTTTTCTTTAAAGAGCGCTGTTTGTCGACATAATTGTATTTGTGCTGCTTTTTCATCTATGTTTTCATTTCTTGTTTTCATTCTACTCATTATGCTCAATTAGTATTAAGCTTGTCATTTAAGTTTATCATGCCCGAAACGCTTTGCGTAATAGTGGCTTTAGGCATTGTATGTACTAGCTATACCTATAAGTTAAACAATCCTTGTAAATATTTATTGTATGTATGTACCTTACCTAAATAAAATTGTATTGTATTGTATTGTATTGTAGGAAAGTAAAGGTATAGTGACTATACCCCCTCACCCTTGGAGGGTGAGGGGGATGGGGTTGAGGGACCTGGGAGGGCGAGGGGAAGTGGGGGTTGAGGGACCAGGGAGGTAGGTGGGTAGAGTGACCAGGGAGGGAGAGGGGAAGGAGGGAGCAACTTGTAAACAAACTCCGCCTACTGCTCCAGTAGTTGTGTTGGGTTCACTCCTGGAGGTTGTAACTCTTGATATGATCCCACGTAAGTTGTCTCAGTTTGGGGATAGTATATCAAGCAGGATAGTATGACGTTCGGGAACTAAACTTTAATTTGTCTTTGTATAATGATGACTCAGTCCATAGCCCCAAGGCCCGTCTTTGTTTTGTCAACAATATTTTTTTTTGTTCATGGGGAATCAGTGTTTTTGTACTTCCGGGATGTGTTTTCGCACATAAAGCTCAAAATACCCCCTTCAATGTCGAATTTAGGAGCCCCCATCTTTTGTCCATTCCTTAGGGTTATTGTTAGTCTAGTTAATTTATTATGCACCCCATACCCATTGTATGGGTGGTAGTGGAAAGTGTTACATAGGCACATAATGGGATTAGGGGTTATATATTCATAATAAACATGTATATGCATTTGGCAAGACTAATAATTGTTAGTGTCTAATTGTTAAAAACTAATTAATTAGATTAGGCTGGGGTGGGTTGTATTAGGTACATTTGGAAGGGTATGGTTAAGTTTGGCTATATTAAGGTGGGGTTAGGCTAGGTTGGTTTTTAAAATCTGTTTGTAACATGCCTCTCACCATAAGAGGTCAGCCAGTTATGTCCCTTAGGTGTAGCTGGAGTGTGTTGAAAAGCATTGGGCCCTTGATGTTGACAGTGTATTCTCTCAGCATACTTATTGTTCCTCTGCTTGTCAACAAGGATATTTTGCACACCCTGCCTTGATTCATGGTTTCATGTAATCACCTAAGTGGAGTTACAGGATGACAGCTATGCTCATGGTGTCCCGTCTTCCCAGCACTCCTTGTCATATAACTCTGAAACTACTGACGGTCTTGGCCTCCACCACCTTCTCACCTAACTTGTTCCAACCGTCTATCACTCTGTTTGCGAAAATGATTTTTTTTCTATTTCTTCAGCATCTTTGTTTAGTTAGTTTAAAGCTATGACTTCTAGTTTTTGAAGTTCCAGGTCTCAGGAATTCTTCCCTATCAATTATCGATTCCCGTTACTATTTTGTACATAGTGATTTTGTATGTCGCCTCGCCTTTTTCTTCTATCTTCTAGTTTTGACATATTTAATGCCTCTAAGCTCTCCTTGTACCTCTTGTTCTTCTGTTCCAGGAGCCATTTAGTTGCATGTCTTTATACCTTTCCCAGTTTACTGATGTGCTTCTTAAGATTGTTATTTCCATGTATGGATTTGTAATCAGCCCCTATACAATTTTCTAAGTGTAAATTATTATCTCTTCTGCCTGCATTCCAAAAAATACAGATTTAAAACCAGCTACTCAGACAAAGGATTCCCAGTGGATGTAGTATATATGGATTTTGCTAAAGCCCTTGATAAAATACCACCTCTACCTTGAGTAGAGGTGGTATCTTATCAAGGGCCTTAGCAAAATCACAGGAAAGACTATCAAGGAAATTATAGGCACATGGAATAAAGGGTAGAATATTAGACCATTGGATAAAACAATGGTTAAAACAAGAAAACAGAGGGAATGAATCTGACTGGAGAAATGTATTGAGTCGGGTACCACAGGGGTCCATTTTGAATGTTACAAACCACATCATCAAATTTGTAGATGACACAAAGATTTATGTTAAAGTGGGAAATGAAAAAGATACTGAAGCCTTACAAAGAGATCTACATGAACTCCACAAATGGTCAGAAGACTGGCAAATACTTTTTTAATACTGAAAAATAGAAGACTACATGTGAGGCATAACAACCCACATCACAACTATCAAATTAATAACATTACCTTGCTGATTGATGAAGAAAAGAACCTTATGGTGAAAATCTACCATTCACTGAAAGTTGCACAACAGGTAGGAGCAGCAGTGAAAAAAGCTAACCAAATGCAGAGATTGAGTCACAGTACCATGGCTGAAGATACGATGACCAAACCACACATCAGACAATGGAGAAATGATGACGTTGGAATGAATGAAGAATGGATGAGATACGAATAAGAGGGTAAGAAAAAGAAAAGGGGGGTTGACTTAAGTCATGTCACATTTGTTAAGGTTAAAGCATTTAAGTCTGTACTGTGAAAGGTCGAAAAGTCGACATCAACAAAACCAAAATTAAGGTTCATGGTTGGTATGTTGTGTATTAGAGCCAATTCGACAAGATGGCATCTGTGAAGAGTAAAGGCAAGAAAGATTATCTTAGAAGACCAATCAATAGGATGATTAAGAGTCCCTAACATGACAGAAGAGAGCATTGTTTATCTGTGGATTTAATAGAAAATCTTATCACGGAGAAATGTCGTCGTTTTTTCATCTTCTGATGTGTGGTTTGGTCATTATATCTTCAGTCATGGTATTGTGACTCATCGTTTGCATGTATAGCCACAACCACACTTCAGGGGTTAAAATTTTGATTGTCATATAGTCCTGAAATTCTTGCAAAAATATTAACCATAATTTAAACATTTTCTTTTAAGATTCAAGAACAATCACAAATATTTTACTGTAAATTTTATTGTGAATTATGATTCCACTTGTTTAGCACTTAAGTCACAACTCTCACAACTTGGGACTTTGAATTTTTTTTGTCTGATTTTTTCAAAGATTTCAAACTCTATTTTCCTTGTTTCTTTAGGTTGTTTTTATGATTAGGGACCAGATTAGGGCTTTTTTACTTATATCAAGTATACCCTAAATATATCCCCTAAATAATTATAATAATTATAATTATCCCTATATTTTGTATTTTTGGGGATTATTTTTTCTTGACTTCATTTCAACACAGTGACCTACAACTTTCACATATTTGAGTACGAATACCAAGCAATGTTTATTACAACATACAAGTAAATTCACGAATCAGAACTTCCTTATTCATGGTCGATAACTTCAACTTCATTTACTGTATATCTATAACTAGAATTTCAACTTACTTCAGTATCCAAAAATCTAGTTTTTGACCAATTCTCACCATTTTTACATATAGTGGGCACAGCTGTCTGTTCTACAATCCCTATAGAATTGATTTTTCATAAACTCTAAATGTTATAAATTGTATAAATAATTTTTTTATAAATTTTTAAAAATAAATAAATAGTTATAAATTTTTGTTGTCTAAATTTGTGCATATTTCAAATGCCATATTAACAATTTTTTTTTACAGTAAACTATACTGAAAACCTATATTCTAAATATATGAAAATGAAGATCATATGCTATCCTGAGAGCATGCTAACACCAAGTGAACAGTTGGTGATATTTTATATTTTTGCAGCTAATTTCAAAATCTGAAGTTTTCAGTATTCAATTTTATAATTATTTTTTATTTTCTTGTTTTTCAAGTTACACTGGTATCAGTTAAACAAAGTTGGAGAATTTGCCTAATAGATTATGCACAAAACATTTGAAAGAGTTTCTGAACATTTAAAAAACTGTGCTCAATGACACACATCGTATGACGTTTTGCGCAGTTTAAGGGTTAAAAATTCTTCCAAATAGTGAGTTTTATGTTTAATAGAAAGATTTATTTTTTTTTTGTAATAATAGCAATAAAAATGCCAAATCATGGTAATTATTGGCATTTATGATTAGATACCACATTTCTTCAATGACATGCCAATTGACATGAGGTGTATTGACTTTGGAACTTCCCTTATATATCAGCTGATGAAGCCATCATTTAGTAGTTAATTATGATTAGACAGAAATTACTTTCAGATAATTTTTAAGTATATAATATGTATTTAAAAAAAATTCAATTAGATTTTTATGCCTTAAATATATGAAAGCTCTTGGCAAAGATAGAAAAATTGTCATCTTGAGGTTATCTTGAGATGATTTTGGGGCTTTTTTTTTTAGTGTCCCCGCGGCCCGGTCCTCAACCAGGCCTCCACTCCCAGGAAGCAGCCCGTGACAGCTGACTAACACCCAGGTAAATAATTTTACTGCTAGGTAACAGGGGCATAGGGTGAAAGAAACTGCCCATTGTTTCTCGCCGGCGCCTGGGATCGAACCCAGGACCACAGGATCACAAGTCCAGCGTGCTGTCCGCTCGGCCGACCGACTCCCCACACATCCGTCATCCACACATCCGTGGAAATAAACAATCAAATTAGTGGATAGAGCTCTGGATAGATACCAGAGTGGATAGATACCACATAAGTGATATGCCTCACTTGCTTGGGGCTCATGGTTTAAGTCTCCTAGAGCCCAGGTGAATGGAATAGAAAAGTTGATAGAAACTTTGGAGAAGTGTATAAACATGAAACGGGTCTTATTTGTTTGTTTATTTTTATTTTCCTTTAAAATATATGAAGTTTTTTGTTTTATACTTTTACAGAGACTTAGGAAGTATCCATCCTGTATTGGCAACTGCACAATTGCTGAGATGTCTCGACATGGGAATTTATCGACATTGGGTAATATTCAGCATGTTTGTATGTGTTATATAATTTATATAATGGGGGGGAGGCCCCGTTGGCTCCCCGGAGCTTTCCTGGCTGATATGGATATATTAGATTTCTGGCATCAATCAATGTGCTTGGAGTTCTAGGCCTACTGGGGACCATGAGCCAGAATTTTGCTCTCTTAGAGAGGCGCGAGGATCAATGGCCTATAGAAACCCCCTTGTGGTTGGAAGCATTCTATGTCTGCCATCAATGGGGTTAGGTACCCAGAAAGGTAAGCGCCCTAAAACAAACTACTATTCTGGTGAAAACATTGCTACAAAGAGCTGAAGGAGTGGACAGAACTCGCCAAATGGAAACAAGCAAACTAGCATGACGCCACCATGTTGCCGTGCCGTTGTCTTCTCAACCCCCCTCCCCTCCCTGGGAGGGGGGAAGGTGGAGCCCCAGACCTTCACGCCAGCTACCAACCCTTCAGTTCTTTGCTGATGTGACACTGGCAAGGTAGTGTGTTATTGGCTGTGTAAAATTGTTTCAGTTCTGTGCCTTGTGGTGTGGTACTGTCTTTACAGGCGGTGTGCGAGCCAGGAGTAAATTCTTCAGTACTCGGGCTGCATGCGCCTAGGGTTTCCTTCCCTAGGTGCCCCTGGATTCCTTGCCCTTCCTTTCAGATGACCCACTCTCTCAGGTCCGGCTTCTTTTGGAGCTGGGTGCTTGGATGGTGTCCCTGGTCCTGAAGGATGCGTATTGGCACGTCCCGATTCATCTGGGGTTCAGGGACTGGCTAGGTTTCGTGGTGGGGCATCAGACTTACCGTTTTTGTTGTCTTCCTTTTTGGCTTGACTCTGGCACCTCACATATACACGCATTTTACCCGGGTCGTGGTGACCTGTCTGAGTCTGCTAGGGATTCTGGTCCTGGTCTACCTGAACGACTGGCTGGATTAGGATCCCAGTCGGTCTGCTTGTCTGCTCACCAGGGGGATGTGGTTCTTTCCCAGCTCTTCAGGTTCCTGGTGAACTAGAGAAAGTCCCATCTGGTTCCGTCCCAGGTTCGGACCTGGCTGGGTCTTGTTTGGAACTCTTAGACCACTTCCATGTCTCTCCCTCCGGAGGTATTTCTGAGGCTGCGGTCCTGCCTTTGCCTTCTGGGAGGTGAGGTCCCGGGTCACTCGGCGGTTGCTCGAGCAGTTGCGCGGGAGTTTTTGCCATGCTGGGATGCCCATTCTGCATCCCTCACAATCGCTGGGTTTGTACTCAAGGTGCCTTGCATCGGTTGCTGCGTCGCCTGCTTTCTCTTCGGGGTTTTCGGGGTTCATTGCCTTGCCTCCTACCCGAACCCTCGCTCAATGTGTTCACGGATGCGAAGCCCCAGTCTCTGTTCTGGGGCTTTGTTACCAGTGTTCACCAGGCTGGCCAGGGGCGATGGGGTATGCCCTTCCTTCGAGCTCACAGCACAGTTCAGGAGTTCGCGGCGGTTTGGCTGTTGCTTTGGAGGGTTCGGGTCGGCCAGGGTTCAACCATCCGGCTCCATTCGGACTGTTCTCCAGCCAGCGGTTCAGTGCCTGGACCGCGAGGGTTCTCTTTGGTCCTTGCCTCTTTTGGGCTGGTCGCTTGGAGTAGCTCGTCTGCTGGCTTCATGGGTTTTGGCTCTCCATGCGGTTCATATCCAGGTAGTATCCAATGTCCTGGCACACGGCCTGTCTTGGTTCATTTCCCTGTCCATGGAATAGACGGTCGATGCTAACTACTACCATTGGCTCTGCCGGACGTACGGTCTCCTTCTGTTGGCTCTGACGAACGTACGGACTCCTTCCGTTGGCTGGCATGGACGAGCGGCGCGGCAGTGGAGTGTGACTTTTGCTTGTTTTCTTGTTTCCTTGTTTCTATTGGATTGGAGGGAGATCTGCCTCTCTTTTTCATTTTTCTTTGAACTTTTCTTACCAGGTTGTTTGTTTTGTTATGCCTACCTTTCTGGGTCCCTAACCCCAGACGATGTCAGATAAGGAAAACTCCTAACTACAGGGAGGTTTTCCAGGACCATTGCACCTTGAAACCTCTCTGAAGAGTCCAGGTTCTGGCTCATGGTCCCTAATAGGTCGAACTCCATAGACTAATGCCCTAGTCTCATATATCACACATTAGCACGACAGCTCCAGGGAACCGCTGGGGCTCGCTCAGAAAATTGTGTTTCATTACATTCAATGCTGTTTTTTTTTTTTTCTGGGAAGGACCACACAGTAACTCCTTGAGTTTAGCTCTGGAACCACCATGCTTTTTAGATGAAACACATCAGACCTCTGAGACCCAACAGTCACTTATTTGAAATCTGGACAAGAATCTGGATCACGCTGAGGTGAGGGTAGCTTGGGAATCAGCATTCAGCCTAATACTGGGGGGAAAAAAAAAACAGGGGTAAATGCCCTAATAGTGAAGCACTGACTGCCACCAGATGACAACCCAGGTGACTTTGGGGGCCTAATTTCTTTTAAGCAGTCATATTTTTTGTTATGTCTGTTCTCTCTGGTGGGAGCTTTCTTTGACTTTTGGTTGACTTTTCATCTCCTAGATCCCCATGCCTCATAGAGTAAGCCAGATTCTAGTCCTGGGTAGATACGGGTGGGTCTGGGAGGCTTGGTACTATTAACCGTCTTATTCAGTTCAGTACAGTAACACCTCGGCTTACGAATGCTCTTCTTTACGAACTTTTTGGGTTTCGAGTCCAATTTCTTTGTAAATTCTGAATCAGGTTATGAACTTTGCTTCGGGTAACATAGTTTGCGTATGGCAAAGCCTGGGTGTTAGTCAGCTGTCACGGGCTGCTTCCTGGGGGGTGGAGGCCTGGTCGCGGACCGGGCCGCGGGGACACTACAGCCCCGAAATTATCTTAAGAGATGGCCGACGTAGCCCGTGGTGGCACGGCGACCGTTCCTCAGTTTACCAGTGCCTCCTGCCTAGTGACAATCACACCGGAATTCTTTGTAAATAATTTCAGTGTTTTTTTGATTTTTGGGTATATGAACATAAAAAGTAATTATTATATATATCTCACCATGGGTCCCAAGAAAGTCAGTGGTAAGGTTCACCTTAAGAAAATTGTTGTGAGTAGAGGCAGTAGTGGATGTCTCTTCCTCATTAAGAAAATGTGTGAAGTATGGGAGGAACTGCAAAGTTTTGTATAAAAAACCTCACCCAGATAAAGCTACAGCTTTATCTGGGTGAGTTTTTTTTTTTTGCAGGCCGTTGCATTGACAATGTGATGTCTCACTACAGACAAGTGTTCAAATGTAGGGAAAAACAAGTGTCTTTAGACAGATTCTTAATAAGACAAGCAAGCAATGTGCAGGTCCTAGTGGTAATCCTGCAAAACGTAGGAGAGTACCCCAGAGAAGTCATCACTGCCTGATGTTATAATGGAAGGGGACACCCCTTCCAAATACTAACACCTCTTCTCCTCCCCCCTCCTCACCGTCTTCCATTCGCCAACATAAAGGTAAGCAATAACTTGTACGTTGAGTACTTTAGTACTAAAGATTTGGGTGAATTAGGTATAAAATTTACTTTGAAGATAATATTTTTGGGAGTATGGAACGGATTAATTCAATTTACATTATTTCTTATGGGAAAATACACTTCGGTTTACGAATTTCCGGGTTACAAACCGTCTCTGGGAACGGATTAAATTTGAAAGCTGAGGTACCACTGTATTTGCTTCATTGGTCATCATTACACATTGCTGTGGTTGCCTACACCTTTTGTATGTTAATGAGAGCCTATATTGCTTAATCCACTACACTTCACTTAGGATAGAAAGTGCAGATAATGGGATAAATTATTTTTTTAATTTTTTTTTGTAGAATTATTTATATCTTTTAGAACATTTTAAGATACTAAATCAGAGGAAGGGTAATTTGATTTGACAAATGTCTACTTTCAGCCTGGCCTGGAAGCATGAATTCAGTATCGTCAGATTTCTGGCTAGCCAATCATTTTCCTGGAATGCAAATCAACGGGCGAATGTCAGCTGTACGACGCTTCTTCTGCCTCTTTGTGACATTTGATTTTCTCTTTACAAGCCTTTTTTGGGCCATATGTGTATTGGTGAGTAAAAATCTTGTAATAGCACTTGATGTAGTAGGGTCAGTCTCTAACTAGACTTTTCAGTCCTGTATCATACCAGAAGAGAAGAAATAAAATAATCCTTGCATTTTGAACTAGCATGACATTTGCCAGTTTGCAGGTAGAGTACTGTATTTAAAAAAAAATAAAAGATAAAAATCAGCAAAACTGATAATAATGATACAGATCAAATTTCATTAATAATGTATTTAATGTATAATTTAATACTGTATAATTTGTGTTAATGTATTTAAACTATGGCAATACTGAAGTAGTGCCAAGGTTTAAATAAATAACAAAATTATAATGCCTACATAAAAGGTTTCTTACAGATTTCTCAGTAAGATAAGTAAGGTAAGTCTGAATTAAGATTAGTTTTAATTATTTATCAGAACATATTTTTATGATACGAGTAATGTCCTTACAATTATATTTTATTCCTTTCAGATAAATAAAGGGGAATACAAAGCATTAGTGGAAGAGATTATTCATTATAACATCAAATCTTCTATATTCGATGTGGTGGTATGTATATTTTATCACTCTAAATAGCTGTTCCACTTTTTCCATTAGATTTAAACTTTTTCACTTAATGTTTGTGCAATTACAAAGCAGTTACTGCTGAGGAATACTAGGGTTTTAATTTGTGTAAGCTCCAGAACTGGGTGTTACTGAGCATATAATGATACAGTATTGAATAAATTGATTAAATAAATAGAATAAATTGATTAACCACTTAACTGCGCCAGACGAGTATTCTCGGTCGGCGGGAAACTGCGCCAACCGAGAAAACTCTTTTTGATTTTTCCGTACCCATTCTAAATGTGTGCAAGGTTAGTTGTATACGAAATGGACTCTTAGGACCTCCAGTGAGAGGCAGCCATCTTGGAAAAAATTCCCAGAATGCCCTAGGGCTGCTGATTGGGTTAGTACTGAATGAGCAACCATGGGTGGTGCACGCGCCTCTGGCTCCCGAACACCTGTCCGACGCGGTGTTGAAAGATAACGCTCTGTCGGTGAAATTCAAACCTTATTGTTTGAAAAACATAAGGGTCATAATATTGGTGAAGCTAGGGGCAATAAGGACCTAACACAAAAGTCGGATGCAAGTGATACAACACCTTTGAGGACGATACAGCGAGTGTATCCAGTTGTAGCTCTGAACGTCTCCCTTGCAATCCTATGTTATCTCCAATTTATTTAGACGATACATAGATGAATCGTTTTCTGCGTTCAGTGATAATGCATCTGATACAAGTAGCATAGATGAACAGTGTTAGCAGCTACCATGGTGGTGTTTTCCATAGATATTTTCAAGAATAAAGTACCTGAATCTCTTCCTAACTGACAGACACTCTTTGAGGCTAGCTGAATCTCTTTCTGATTGACAGACACTCTTTGAGGCATGCTGAATCTCTTCTTGTGTGGGACCATACAAAGTGGTCTTTTCAAGACTACCTGACAAATTGATCTTTTCCTATAATCTTTTCAAGACTACCTTACGTTTTACAAGCTTGGCTACATACCACCTACAGGTACTAATGCCAAGGGTGTACGTGAGTGCGTTATTTGCATGCACACAGAATGAAGAAACAGGAAGCGAAAATCTATCTGTAGCTGGTGCAACGAGAGCAAAGTCGTGCTGTGTACCATGGACTACTGCGTTGATTATTATGCACCTCCAAAGTACTGAGTGTGTAATACAGTGTGTTACTGTGTAAATAGTATGTGAAACTGTACATACTGTATTGTAATTTTAGTGAATTTTTACCACGTAATATTGTGACAATAAACATTTATTGTGGACACATTACTGACACATGTATCACAGTTCCATGGAAAATTATGAACATTCTACTGTATACATATTGTAAAGGTCACAAATATGCATCATATACGACAAAAGAAACAAATAAAACCGCATTGGAAATACATACAGCAAATAATTGAAAATATATTTGTGGCAACACCCGGTGCTTGAATGGCCCGCGCGACCGTGTCTGGGCGATTCATGCACGGGCGACCAGGCCCTGATGACGTCACAGTGCACCTTGTCCATGTCCCCACAGCCAAAGTAAGTGGAATTTGGTATTTATTTTTACATAGACATGTTCAGGGAAGGGAATTTATCATTTTACGAAGAAAAAATAATTTTTTGGGAACACTTTATTTCATGCACACGGTGGGAATTTCACAATAAACTCGGCGCAGCACGGTGGTTAAAAAACCAATGTTGAATGTAATGAAACGCCATTTTATGGGTAAGTCCCGGAGGCTCCCTGGAGTTATCCGGGCTAATAAGGATACCCCTAACTTTTGGCATCAGTCGATGTGGGTGGAGTTCTAGGCCTACCAGGGAACACGGCCAGAACCTGATCCCTCAGAGAGATACGAGGAGCAATGGCCCATAGAAATGCACATGTCATTTTTGGAGCATTCTATGTCTGCCATCGACCAGGACAGGCACCCAGAAAGCACCCCAAAACAAACTCTTATTCTGGTTAAAAATGGCAAAAATAGACAAAGGAGTGAACAGAACTCCCCAATTGAAAACAAGCAAACAAGCATAACATCACATGAGCCGCGATGCATGTCTGCACAGCTCCCCCCATCCCCGGGATGGGGAAGGGGGAGCCCCAGACCCCCGCACTGGCGATCCACATTGCAGTTTTGAGGCTGGGTATCAAAATACTGTATGCAAAAAACTGCCGACCGGAGGGAAGGAGGGTTGTCGGGGAGCCTCCGGGACTTGCCCAGAAAATGGTGTTTTATTACATTCAACGCTGGTTTTCTGGGGGGAGCCTCTACGGCTCCTCAGAGCTACTTCACGAAAGACTAAAAAGAAGGAAGGGGACTTACCTGGGAGGCGGTCTGTGCTCCACACCTCAACGCGAAGGCGAGACACAGCGACACAGGGCCCGACTAGGCCCAGGAATATTTACTAGGTGGCATGCAACCAGGACCCTGTTTGACCGCCAGAAACCCCGTGCCCGAATGTCAGCCCATTACATATTCCCAAAGACGGCAGCAAGAGCAGCAAACTTACGAACATCAAGGGCATGGGGATAGACCGCTGGTTGGCTAGACTTAATAACCCTGCGGACGACCTGAGACACCCATACCCGCGAACAGGGAAGAAAGGAAACTGGATCAACCCAAAGCGTGTCCCCGGACACAGAAGCCGTGACGTGCAAATAACGGCAAAGAGCCGCAACCGAACACAACACATGATGCACCCCGGCCTGACGAACCAAGCCCCACCAGGCAAAAAGAAAAAGAAAAGGAAAACCTTGCAAGAGGACAGTGTACCCAGAGGGAACAGAGCCGGCCGCTGTTATAAGTGAAAACTAGCTATGCAGTACCCTGCACCCCTACCAGTGCAATAACTACTACTTACCCCAAGGTAAACAAGGGAGGAAACCCCGCAAAACACTCAAGACAGTCAATCGCCAAGCAGCAAAAGACAAACAGAGGTACACCCAAGGTGACTTGTGGAAGGGAATCCCAAGCCTCTAGGGCGGTACTCACAAGGCACTCAGGGAAGGTGACCCTAAGCACATGCAGCCAGAGTACCTGTGAATATTACTTCCAGCTTGCGCGCACACACTCCATAATCCATCACTTGCTGCTCCATCACTTGCTGCTCCATCACTTGCTACCCATGGCCACTCTCTCAATGCTGAGGCTCCTCACACCCAGGAGGGGTGGCCACAATTTTTTCCAAGATGGCATCTGTTTTCTGGAGGCCTGAAAAAGTAGATTAAAGCCCCTTGTACCTAAGGGAGTTTTAAGTCATAGGCTGCACTTTAAAATATCCCTGATTGTGTCACATGGTTTATTGATATCTACTAAGAACATTCATCATTGAGTTGCACAGTGAAAGGGGTAATTGTAAAGAATGGGGTAGAGAATAAGATTTCATAGGATCAATTTGGTAAGAGGAAGTAAGAGACTGAATTTGTTTTTCTTCAACTGTATTGATTTTTTATTTCTTTGAGGATGATGACCTCTTGATAGTGGTAAATAGGGTAATATTGATGACTGATCTCTTAATTGTTTTATGTTGAACTGCTTATTACTAATTTTAATTGTTTAGATTACTATTAAAAAATATAGTTTGTATGTTCTGTTTCAGATGGTTGCTGCCTCTAGATTCATCATTCTTCTGCTTTTCTATGCCTTACTACACATCAATCATTGGTGGATGGTTGCCGTAAGTTTTATATATGTTAGAAAAATATATTTACACATTTATTTGATAAAATTGTGCAGTCAGCCTTGATCTGTGTGCATGATATGTTTCTGTAAAAATGTTTACCCTTACTCTTTGAAACACAATATAAACATGATTACCGTATAAGACGTACCCCCGCATAGGATGCACCCCAATTTTACAAGGATATTCTGTGGAAAAACTATTTTAGTATGTTTCATTATATATTTATTGAAAGATATTTTAAAGTTGATTTTGTTCCACAACTCTTCCCTCCCCTAAGTTCAGCTGTAGTGTAGTTATTTATATTTTGGACAAGAGAATTGCTATACAGGATGTGAAACTTGTATTTCTGGATGTGATGTTTTGTTGTCACACAATGCCACTAGGGCGGTGCTCCCAGTGGTGGTGCACCATCAGAGCGCTCTGGTGGTGGTGTCATTCATGCATTGCATATGGCTGAAGGCGGATTAAAGTTGAACATTCCTTTCAAATTTATAAGATCATTTTTCATTTAGATGATGAATAAATGTCTTAAAGGTAACACAGTCATTAAATAATGTCTGATATATCAGGTGTGGATTATGTATACTGGATAAGATGATGTGAGCTTCCTTCATACCTGTCGACATATCATAAGTTTGTGATAACAGACTGATAACTCGGCTTGCTTTCAATATTTTATTATTAGTAACGATTTTAGTCCGGCTCCCTAACCTATTCTCCTCGGTCTCCCCATCCGTAATACGGCTGCTTAGACACAGGGCACTTTTCTGGGGGGAGCCCCATCGGCTCCCCGGAGCTATCCCAGGCTGATATGCTAATGTCAGACTTTGGCATCAGTCATGTGTATGGAGTTCTTAGGCCTACCGGGGACCACGGCCAGAACCGGGCCCCCTCAGAGAGGCAAGGGGAGCAATGGCCTAAAGAAGTCCCCGTGTGGTTGGAAGCATTCTATGTCTGCCATCGACTGGAACAGGCACCCAGAAAGGTAAGCGCCTCAAAACAAACCCCTATTCTGGTTAAAATTGCTACCAAAAGCCGAACTAGTGGATAGAACTCCCCAACCGAAAACAAGCAAACTAGTGTGATGTCACACACCGCCGCACCGCTATCTGAGCAGCTCCCCCTCCCCGGAAGGGGAAAGGGGGAGCCCAAGACCCTCCACGCCGGCTACCCACACCTCAGTTCTTGAGGCTGATGCTATAGGCGATGGTCGTGTGCTCTGGCTCCGGTGTCGCTACTGCACTGTGCTCTGCGTGTGGTGTTGGTTTTGTGGGTGCGAGAGCCAGGAGTTATCTTCAGTACTCGGGCTGCATGCGCCTAGTGCTGCCTTTCCTAGGTGCCCTGTAAGTACTGCCCTTGGGGCTTGGGGCCACCTTCCACAGGCTCCTCGGGGTCTGCCTCTGCTAGTCCATTTTACCTTTCGGTTTTTCGGCCGCCTGTTGGGCTCTTGGGTGTTGTGTTCTTCCTTGTTACCGGCAGGTAAGAGGCAGTTTGCACTGGCAGGGGCGCAGGGTGCTGCACAGCTTGTATTCCCGACATCGCGGCCGGCTCTGTTCCTTGGGGTTCGCTGTCCTCTTGCGGGGTTTTGTTTTTCTTTTGTTTTTGCCTGGTGGGGAGTTCTGTCATTTTATTCAGTTTGTTTTTGCCCTTCCACTGTTCTCCTCGGTGGTGGCCCCTGCTAGGTCCCCGTGAGTGTACACGTCCCTGGGGTTCAGCTATAGAAGTTCGCTTGGTAGTTTTGGGCGCTGGTTTGCAGCTCCCTGCCTGGGACTACCTGAGCGTGAGTCCTCTTAAAGTAAACGCTCAGGACCCTGGGAATCCCCTAGGGGGCGCGTGGGTCCGATGGATGTGACCCCGGAGTCCCCACTCGCTGTGTGCGAGTTTGAGGGTCGCTCGGTCCCCTTGTCTCAGGGTGACCCTTATTGTTTTTGCCTCTGCCACGCTGCCTGTTGGGTCGGTGATACTTTCGACCCTGAGTCCTGTGAGTGTTGCTGCTTGCTTGTGACTCAATTTACCCAATCCTCTGATGATTCTCTTCGGGTACAGGCGGTGCGTGCGTTGTAGTCTAGGTTTCGTCTGTTGCAACGCGCTCGGTTGGTTGCTCACCCGGATGCCCCGGGGCTGCCCCGCTTTGCTTTTCAAGACCCGGACTTGGGGGTGGGAGTCGCTTCGATCCTGGTTCAGTCCGCACCTCCTCGTCCTTCCCCTTCTGTTCGTTCTGGTCCCCCCCCCCCCTGCTTCTGGCCCCGAAGCATCTGAGGGTTTCGGGGTCGGAGCAGTGGTTACTTGATCTTGAGACTCGGGCAGGTTCGGGGGGTTCCCCTTCCGGGGGGGTGGCAGAGGCATTCGAGTCTTGTCTCCTGGCCGAAGCTTCTGGGTCTGACCAGTGGGCCCCCCCCTTCCTCCAGCTTTTCTGGCTGCTCCGTCCTTGTCTTGTGGGGTCGGGGCTTGGGGAGAGGACTCGGCCTCGGGTCCTGTGGTGAAGGACCTCGAGGCTGGGGAGGGACTGCCTGTGGTGCTTTGGGTTGGTGGTTGCAGCCAGTTGTCTCGACTTCACGTTGAGGAGCGAGTGCTGACTGCCTCTCAGGTAGGTCTCTCTTTTTCTTTTATCTTTGGGTAAGTAGCTCCGGGGAGCTGAAGGGGGCTCCCCCCAAAAAACCAGTGTTGAATGTAATGAAATGCCATTTTCTGGGTGAGTTTCTGAGGCTTCGCGGCAACCCTCCTTCCCTCCAGTCGGCATTTTTTTTTTTTTTTGCGTATTTTGATTTCCAGCCTCAGAACTGCAGGGTGGATCGCCGGTGTGAGGGACTGGGGCTCCACTTTTCCCCTCCCAGTGGGGAAGGCTGCGCAGACAAGTAGCACCGTTACATGGTGACATGCTCGTTTTCATTTGGGGAGTTCTGTCCACTCGTTTGACTTTCAGTAGTAGTTTCAACCAGAATAGGGGTTTGTTTTGGGATGCTTACCTTTCTGGGTGCCTGACCTGGTCAATGGCAGACATAGAATGCTCCATAACCACATGTGCATTTCTATTGGCCATTGCTCCTCGTGCCTCTCTGAGGGGGACCAGGTTCTGGCTCGTGGTCCCAGATAAGCCTAGAACTCCATTCACATTGATGCCAAAGTCTATTATATCCATATCAGCCTGGATAGCTCCGGGAAGCCTCCAGGTCTCACCCAGAAAATGGCATTTCATAACATTCAATGCTGTTTTTTTTTTTTAAATTACAGTATTGTAATACTTTGTTAATATTAAAGTTTATTTATTTGTTTCAGATTACCACTGCAGGAAGCTGTGCATTCTTCATCTGCAAGAGTTTAATGTATAAGGTAGTGTTATTTGCAACTTGTTAGTCGCGTCAAAAAATCTGATAAAAATTTTGTTTTTCTCGGGAAAGCCTCTTGTGACTCCCTGATGCTAAATGCTGAGATGGTTACTATCTACCAGGTTGCATCAGGTGTGGTATTCTCTAGGCCTACCAGCAACCTGTCCTCTTAAAAAGAACGTCACTTTTCGCACGTATGCGCACTATGGCCAAATTTGGACGTAATTTGAAATGAAATCTACTCACAAAAGTGATGTACTGTTCCGTTTTCTGTTTGAGTCATCCGGCCGACTCTGTAAGGTTAGAATAGATGACTTTCAATTCGTGTTTTTCATAACGTTTTGAAACCTTATGAGAATTTCTTGCCCACCTAACCTATCAGAGGACTCTTAACTTACTGTTGTTGAAAAAAAAAAATCAAATTTATTTTCATTTTTTTTCATTTTCAAATTACGTCCAAATTCGGCCATACGAGCAAACAGCCAAATGCGACGTTCTTTTTAACCCTCAAACCGCTAGGGGCCCAAATGGAATTCACACCCACAGGCGCAACAAAAAAAAAATTCCAAAATTTTTTTTCGTCTTATAGAAGTGTTCATTTTTGTTCCCTGATCACGGAAAAAATAACAAAAAAATCGTAGGTGGCATATTTTAGCCGCAATAGGGTAGGAAAGTGTGGCAAAAAAAGGGGCATTGGCAGAGCCTTCGCCAGACGAGGTCTACTCCGCCCGAGCTGTCAGACGGCAGTTGCCACAAATATATTATTACCTAATTATTTCAATGTCTCTGATTGATTTTTTCTTAGTTTTTTTGCAGTAATATTATTCCATACAGTGAATTGTGGTATATTTATATTATAAAATGTGTGAACCATCGCTGTACTCAAAATTATGGTGTGCATATTAGTGATTCAATTATTATGTTCATAAAACAATAAACAAATAGTTTTGCTGTTGTTACACTATATACACAGGTTATATATAAGTATTTGCATGTTTTGTACACCATAACGAACTACTAAGTTGGTCTTGTGAGTCAAAAAGCAACGAGGAGTGAAACGCCAAACACCTGCGAGCCACTCACTGCCACTCCCTCCCTCACCCTCATTCACCTCCCACAATACTCTTTTGTATTTATTCACTATACACAGACGTTATATATATGTATTTACAGTGTGTCCTCACTTGAACGAACTATATGGGGCGAAGCCGATTCGTTCCAGTGCGGAATTCGTTCCATCCGTCCGGCCCCAACAACCTTCTTATTTTTTTTTTTTAAAACATATGCCAGGACACATTAGTTTGTTTCTTTGTTGTGTGGTGCTTCATTATAATATCTTTCATGCTCTTTTGGTGTCAATAATAATCTGAGATGCGAGAATCACCATCCCCCACCCCACCCACACCATCCTCCACACCACCCACACCATCCTCCACACCATCCTCCACACCACCCACACCATCCTCCACACCACCCTCACCATCCTCCACACCACCCACACCATCCTCCACACCACCCACACCATCCTCCCACCCTCCACACCACCCACACCATCCTCCACACCACCCACACCATCCTCCACACCATCCTCCACACCACCCACACCATCCCCCACACCACCCATACCATCCCCCACACCACCCACACCATCCCCCACCCATACCATCCCCCACACCACCCACACCATCCCCCACACCACCCACACCATCCCCCACACCACCCACACCATCCCCCACACCACCCACACCATCCCCCACACCACCCACACCATCCCCCACACCACCCACCCACCATCCCCCACACCACCCACACCATCCCCCACACCACCCACACCATCCCCCACACCACCCACACCACCCACACCACCCACACCATCCCCCACACCACCCACACCATCCCCCACCATCCCCCACACCACCCACACCATCCCCCACACCACCCACACCATCCTCCACACCACCCACACCATCCCCCACACCACCCACACCATCCTCCACACCACCCACACCATCCCCCACACCACCCACACCATCCCCCACACCACCCACACCATCCCCCACACCACCCTCCACACCACCCACACCATCCCCCACACCACCCACACCATCCCCCACACCACCCACACCATCCTCCCCCACACCACCCACACCATCCCCCACACCACTAACACCATTCGCCCCCACCACCCACACTCCCCACACCACCACCCACACACCCCACACCACCACCCACACCATCCCCCCACACCACCCACATCATCCCCCACACCATCCCCCACACCACCCACACCACCCCCCACACCACCCACATCATCCCCCACACCACCCACACCATCCCCCACACCACCCACACCATCCCCCACACCATCCCCCACACCACCCACACCATCCCCCACACCCCCACACCCTCCCCAACACCACTAACACCATTCGCCCCCACCACCCACACTCCCCACACCACCACCCACACACCCCACACCATCACCCACATCATCCCCCACACACCCCACACCACCCACATCATCCCCCCACACCCAACCACACCACCCACACCAACCCACCCACACCCAAACCACACCACCCAAACCATACCACACCACCCACACCGTGTATTGAAGCAGCAGGCTTGGAAGCGTCTCAACTCGCCCGACAAAAAAAAATGATGGGTTGACAGGTCTCCTCTCACACCTCCAGGACCCCCCCCCCCCACCCCCCAGGTACCCGGCCATACACACCACAATGCCAAGTCAGCTATTGTTTTCTTCAGGAAACAATAAAACGTGTTAATGATTAATAATGTATATTAATACACGAAAATTAACATATTTTGGCATAAATATTTTACAGCTAAGATTGAGATTTATAATAGAGTATGAATGAGAGGTTTGGCAGCCATGCGTGGTCACCACCCTTCTCTCTCCACTTCCACCTCCCCTGACAACACCTTCCACCACTGACCCCACCTGCCTCTTTCCACCACCTGCCTCCCCTGACACCGCCTGCCTCCCCTGACCCCACCTGCCTCCCCTGACCCCATGTGCCTCCCCTGACACCACCTGCCTCCCCTGACCCCACCTGCCTCCCCTGACCCCACCTGCCTACCCTGACCCCACCTGCCTACCCTGACCCCACCTGCCTACCCTGACCCCACCTGCCTCCCCTGACCCCACCTGCCTCCCCTGACCCCACCTGCCTCCCCTGACCCCACCTGCCTCCCTTGACCCCACCTGCCTCCCCTGACCAACCTGCCTCCCCTGACCCCACCTGCCTCCCCTGACCCCGCCTGCCTCCCCTGACCCCGCCTGCCTCCCCCGCCTGCCTCCCCTGACACCGCCTGCCTCCCCTGACACCGCCTGCCTCCCCTGACCCCACCTGCCTCCCCTGACACCACCTGCCTCTTTCCACCACCTGCCTCCCCTGACACCGCCTGCCTCTTTCCACCACCTGCCTCCCCTGACACCACCTGCCTCCCCTGACACCGCCTGCCTCCCCTGACCCCACCTGCCTCCCTTGACCCCACCTGCCTCCCCTGACACCACCTGCCTCCCCTGACACCACCTGCCTCCCATGACACCGCCTGCCTCCTCTGACACCACCTGCCTCCTCTGACACCACCTGCCTCCCCCTGACCCCACCTGCCTCCCCAGACCCCACCTGCCTCCCCTGACACCACCTGCCTCCCCTGACCCCATGTGCCTCCCCTGACCCCACCTGCCTCCCCTGACACCGCCTGCCTCCCCTGACACCACCACAAATGATGCCAGCCACCTCACCAAGGCCTAACGTTCACACGACCTGTGCTTGTTTTATTGGCCTCCTCAAAATTTATTCTAAATAGGTATTAGTACAGTACGCAGGCTGTTAGAGGGAGGGAGGGAGGGATCCAGGAAACAACCCCCCCCCACCCACCCCCCCCCCCCCCAATGGCTCAGGGAGCGACCGGCCGGCCACACAATGCCAGCTGTTATCTACACCCCAATTGTATTAAAAATTCTGTGAAAAGGAAATGTGTTCAAACTGTTTAAAATATGTACTGTATATATTACAATTTTCACCATTATTATTGCTCCAATATGACATTTTTCTAATAAAAAGGCTATTTTCAGTGTAGATAATGCGATAATTATCATTAAATTGACTCTTGGCATCTGACGACGAGAGGAGAGTGAGTGGTCTCTGTGGTCAGGTGGAGGAAGGAGGGTGGGGGCGGGGGAGCACGTGTTGCCTCCTGACAACAACTCTCTCACCAATGCCCCCCTGACACCATTTTATCACCATTTTTATCACCATTTCTCCCTAGAAACAATGGGTAGGGATAATAAAACACTACATAACTGTTTACACTGGCGAATCATAGTTGATGACAGCCAGCTCTGACGCTCGGCCTCGGTGACCGCTTGGACGAACATTCCTCACTTAATCGAACATTTGTATGTTCCACTGAACATTTGGTACCGAATTCAATTTGTTCGGCTCTTCCGGGAATTCGATAGAGCGGGGTTCGTTAGTCTGAGGAAGCACTGTATTGTTTGTGGTGTTATTATGCTATATACACACATTATATATAAGTATCTACCTGTTTTATTCACTATACCTGAACAAATAAGCAGGTATGGTGCCCAAAGACCATAGTGGCCATCAGTAAACACCATGCCAAGTCGTGCAGACGACGCTCCTCCCTCACCAAAATGGCAGCTCCCAACCTACTCCTCTCGCTGTTATCTCACACTATACACACGTTATATATAAGTATCTACATTTGTGTTCACCATGGCGAACCACTCAGCTGGTATGGTAAGTGCAGTCAATAAATGGTGGCCACACACAGTCAGAAGACGACGCCACAACCCTCCATTCCACAGCCTTACTCCTCCCTCCATGGAGCACAGCGCTAAATATCACCACAATCCTGCTATTATCAGAATCCTGGTCAGTTTTATCACAGTCAGGGGGCTTCAGTAATACTATCACTGCAAAATAATAGCAGTATCATTTATATTATGGTATTTGTAGGCGATGCTGTGGTCACAAGCTGAACAGCGGTGCTGTGAGCTCGTGCTGTGTGCGCCAGCCTTGGTGGCTTGCTCAATACTGACGCTGTAACACCCAAGAATGTTGGCCTGGATTTTTTTTCTAGGTGACATCTGGCAACTATCGGTCGTGGCTGTACTATAGCTGCCCTTATCCCAGGCGGGGCGTTTAAATTATAGCGCTAAACACGAAATCATATATAAATGATGTGCGCGGTTTCGGTTTTGTCACTGATATCATTTATATATGATATGTGCGGTTTGAGGGTTAAGAGGACAGGTTGCTACCAGGGACTAAAGCCAGAACACAGCTCCCTTACAGAGTGCCGTGACTGGTGACATTTCGCCACCTCATCGGTAAAGGTAACCCGAAAGTCAATGAGTCAGAACAAACACTACTGGACTCAAAAGAGATGGAAGCCTCAAAATCTGCCTAAAGAACTTCCCCAGCTATGTAAACAAATGATAGAATTCTTTTGTAACTTGCACAAGCTAATTTGCCCAACCTCCCCCATTGATCTGGGGCAGGAGGGAAAGTAGCTCACCACTTGCCGGGGTCTGAGCTGTCAGTTCTATTGCTGATGTAGTGGTTACTGTTACTGTAGTGGTTATAAAATGTGTGAAACATCATTGTACTCAAAATTATGGTGTGCATATTAGTGATTCAATTATTATGTTCATAAAAACAATAAACAAATAGTTTTGCTGGTATTACACTATATACACAGGTTATATATAAGTATCTGCATGTTTTGTTCACCTTAACAAACTACTAAGTTGGTATTGTGAGTCAAAAAGCAAGGAGGAATACCCGCCACACACCAGCCAGCCACTCGCTGCCACTCCCTCCCTCAACAACACCTCACTCGCCCACATTCTTCTCCCACGATATTGTTTTTGCATTTATTCACTATACACAGACGTTATATATAAGTATTTACATGTTTTGTTCACCATAACTGTACATCTAAGCTTGTATGGTTAGTAAAGGCAATAAGACGTAGCTACTCACTCAATCAGCTGTGTGAGTAGCTGACAAGGCCAGAGATGCCCTCAAGGCCAGACAAACTAATATTTCTCCTCCAACAATACTGTGGTGTTATTACACCACAACGCCCCACCTGGGATAGGGGCAGCTATAGTGCAGCCACGACCGATAGTTGCCAGATGCCACCTAGAAAAAAAATTCAGGCCAACATTCTTGGGTGTGAGTGCTTCAGTATTGAGTGAGCCACCAAGGCTGACACACGCAGCACGAGCTCACAGCACCGCTGTTCAGCTTGTGACCACAGCATCGCCTACAAATGCCATAATATATATGTTCATGCTATTATTTAGCGATGATAGTATTACAGAAGACCCCTGACTGTGATAAAACTGACCAGGATTCTGATAATAGCAGGATTGTGGTTATATTTAGTGCTGTGCTCCATGGAGGGAGGAGTAATGCTGTGGGAGGGAGGGTGGTGGCGTTGTCTTCTGACTGTGTGTGGCCACCTTTTATTGACTACACTCACCATACCAGCTTAGTGGTTCGCTATGGTGAACACAAATGTAGATACTTATATATAACGTGTGTATAGAGTGTAATAACAGCAATAGGAGTAGGTTGGGAGCTGCCATTTTGGTGAGGGAGGTGTGTCGTCTGCATGGCATGTCTTGTTGTTTACTGGTGGCCACTATGGTCTTTGGGCACCATACCAGCTTATTTGTACAGGTATGGTGAATAAAACAGGTAGATACTTATATATAATATGTGTATATAGTGTAATACACAGTTACAGCCCCACTCCTGTGCCAGGTAAGTCCACTACGGGCTCACCATAACCCATGCTATTTGGAACATTTTGTTCCTAGTAGCTGAATCTAAAACAACAACATAGCATAATAACACCACAAACAGTATTGTTGGAGGAGAAATATTAGTGTGTCTAGCCTTGGCCGCCACCTAGCTGGTGGCGGCCAAGCGGCCGCCACCATGGCCCGGTCGACCCCGTGGCCCGGTCGACGACCGGGCCACGGGGTCGCTGAGCCCTGAAATCACCTCAAGGTAACCTCAAGATGGTCCACTTGTGTGATCCAACTTGTCTTATGAAGAAATTATTAATTGGAATCTGTAATAAAATGAGAAAGTTTTCCATCACTCTGTGAACGCTGTCCCAACATCGTAAGCTTGTGTGGTACACTTGTGTGGTCCAACTTGCCATATGAAGGAATTATTAATTGTAATCTGTGATAGAATGGGAAAGTTTTCTACCAGTCTGTGAACTCTGTCCCGACATCGTAAGCAAATCCGAACATCTCCCACTTCGGCGAACCATTGTTCTTCAAAACCAAGTAAATCCGGCCTGAAAAATGTGCGAACTAGCCGGAGATTTGTTGAATCAGGGTACGTTGAAATGAGGTTGTACTGTATATACATATTTACATCATTTATATGAATTTAATATATTTTGTTGTAATTTATATTTTTTTTTTTTAAACAGTGGAATGACAAGACAAGCTACCCTTTTGAGGTGATGTTAATCCTCCTTTCATTCTTCATCGCATGGATTGAAGCCTGGTTTATAGATTTCCGTGTTTTACCACAGGAAGCAAGAGCGAAATCCATCCTTGAAGGTGAGAGTTTATAACATAAAACAAAATTCTTTTGTGTAGTCCATTTACAAATATTCAAAATGTTTTTAAATAAATATCATTTAAGGAGAGTTCCTAGAGAAAAAACCAGTGTGGAATGTAATGAAACAGCACTTTTTGGGTTATCCTTGGTGGCTACCTGAAGCTATATGTTGAGATAACTCCCATCTACCAAATTGCATCAGCCATGGAGTTCTCAGGCCTACTTGGAGACCAAAACCAGAACTTGGCCTCTCTCACAAAGGTGAAGAGAGCTATGACATTTTGCCGGGGAAGGCATCCAAAAACTCGGCAAATCAAAAGAAACCACTGCTAGGTTCAAAGGAAACTGAAGACTCAAAACTAATAAACTTCCCTATTAACATAAACAAAGATCTAATCTCTCAAAATTAGCGTGAGCTCGTTTGCCCTCCCTCCTCCTTGGGGGTGGAAGAGTTAAGGGGCTAACCACCCCCCTTGGTCTGAGGTTTAGGATGTGCAGCATATGACAAACAAGACCTACCCAATTACCTGGAAGGAAGAGGGGAGGTTTAGGGAATCACTGGGGCTCGCACGGAAATTGGCGTTTCATTCTATTCAACTCTGGTTTTCTGTGGGGAGCCCCTACGGCTCCCCTATGGAGATTTGAAACTCTAGCAGGAGTTTCAAATCACACTTTTTACAAGGAAACATTTAAAAGTTTTGTTTTCATCATTAATCAGAAAAAATATTTATTATAAAGGTCCTGTTCCTTACAACCCAGATTCTGTTCCTGGTTGTTGATAGGTCTATACAAGTCTTGGGCCAAATACATGATGGAATGTCCTGTAATACTAGGACCTACTCTTAGAGCAATTGTTGAGAAACTGCCCAGAAAGTTATTCAAGTATTTTTTTTTTCAGCCTCAAATACTTGTGATCAATCTGAGAGTGATCCACTCCTACCTCAGCTGGAAAGAAGAGTACGAGATTACCTAAATAATTGCTCTGACACTGTGGGAGATTTCTACTCTCCTTTGGATTCACCTCTTGGTATGTGGTAGCTTATGTAGATATCCACTTAATTTCTGCATGAATTATGACTTCCTCTACTTTTATTACATTATTACTAATATGACATAAAATGATCATTTAGAGAGTTATATTGTAATATCATCATTGTCACACACTGAATTCCTTTTCTGGGGGGAGCCCCTACGGCTCCCCGGAGCTATCCATGCCTGATATAGATACCCTAACTATTTTGCATCAGTCGATGTGGGTGGAGTTCTAGGCTTACCGGGGACCACGAACCAGAACCTGGCCCCCTCAGAGAGGCACGGGGAGCAATGGCCCATAGAAATGCACATGTGATTTGGAGCATTCTATATCTGCCATCGACCGGGACAAGCACCCAGAAAGGTAAGCGCCACAAAACAAACCCCTATTCTGGTTAACAACAAAAATCGACAAACGAGTGGACAGAAATCCCCCAGAAAAACGAACTAACAAGCATGATGTCACACGAGCCGCGCTGCATGTCTGCGCAGCTCCCCCGCGCAGCAGGGGTGTTTGGTGTAGTGTGTTGTGTTTGGTCATCTTGTGTGTGTCTTCAATGACTCCTTTATCCATGTCTCTTGTTATTTGTTGTCCTGTGGGGCTCTGCCCTGCATTTCGGTGCTTTTGGTTTCATTGTCGGCACCTGGGTCTTTTCCCTATCTGGAAACTCATTCCTTGCCTATCTTCGGTGCCTGGCTGCACCCTACTGTCCATGAGGTCCCTTGGGTATGTACGCCCTCCTCTACACATTTTGTGGTTGGTCGTATGCATTACTTCCTGGCTGCTCCTTGGTCCGTCTTCGGGGTTTTCCTTACCTATTTCCATTTTTCCTCCTCCTATGCTACACTTGTTTGTGTATCTGGGTCGGTGCTTCTTGACTACCCTGATGTTGGGTGCTCGGGTGGGCCTCTGTCCATGTTCAGTTCCCTGCTTCTGGACTTCTCCGGTGTTCCGTTTTGGTACTGAGTTCCTACGATTTTCTTTGCTACTTACTGCAGGCTTTGGTGTTGTGCTGTCTGTGGGGGGTTGTGGACTTTCAGTCCGCTGCTCCTGCCTTACTGGTTCCTATTCTTGGAACCGGTAGCTGGGTTCCGGTCCTGGCTCCGGTTTTTCTTTGTTCCTTTTCCGGATCGGGTGTGTTTGCTTTCCTGCTGTTCATGTCCTGCGTAGTTCTCCTCTTGGATGCCTCAGGGACACGTGCATCACTCTTCCCTGCTGGATCTGGTTATGTTGCTCCTTTGGGTTGCGGGGTCGCCGTTTTTCGATTCGCATTTTGTGCTTTCGTTCGTGGTGCTAGTTTCTCGTCATTTGTGCCGGCACTGGTTGGTTCGTTATTGAGCTCCCACCTGCGTGTTTCATCTCGGGGATGGTGTGTGGTTTTCCTGGACATCCTTCCGGTTTTCCTATCACTGCAAACAGACCTTCGGTCTCTGATAGGGTTGGCTTATCTTCCCTTCGGGGTTGTTCCAGGACCGTCGTCTGGGACTGAGTCCTGTCACCTCGTATTGGGTGGCTAGCGGAGCCGCTCCTGCTTGCGTTTGGTGTTGGGGTTCCTTTTGTTCCGTTCCGCTTGCTGTCCTGGGTGTTGTTTCACCTCCAGCCTGCTCTTGAGTTCTGGTGCCGTCCTGGTCGTTGGCCTGGGTGGTCTATTTTTCTCTTGTTTTGGTTTTTAGGTTAGGGCGCTTGGCATCCGCCTCCCAGTTCCTTCCCTGTTTTCCTTATCTGTGGTGAGGTAGCTCTGGGGAGCCAACAGGGCTCCCCCCAGAAAACCAGCGTTGATTGTAGTGAAACGCCTTTTTCTGGGTGAGTCCCGGAGGCTCCTCAGCATCCCCCCCCCTCTGGTCGGCGGCATTTTTCGTGTATTTTGACATCCAACCTAAGAACTGCCAGTTGGATCGCCGGCGTGGAGGGTCTGGGGCTCCCCCTTCTCCCTCCTGGAAAGGGGGGGGGTTGCGCAGACGGTGGCGCGGCGACGTAATGATGTCATGCTAGTTTGATAATATTGTTTGAGGAGTTCTGTCCACTCGTTCGGTTTTCGGTAGCAATATTTTCACCAGACTAGGGGTTTGTTTTGGGGCGCCTACCTTTCTGGGTGCCTATCCCGGTCGATGGCAGACATAGAATGCTCCCAACCACGAGGGGGTTACTATAGGCCATTGCTCCTCGTGCCTCTCTGAGGGGGGGCCAGGTTCTGGCTTGTGGTCCCTGGCAGGCAAGAACTCCTAGCACTTTGACTGATGCCAGAAAGTTATACATATCCACTCAGCCTGGATAGCTTCGGGGAGCCTCCGGGACTCCCCCAGAAAATGGCGTTTCATGACATTCAACGCTGGTTTTCTGTTACAGAATATCATGCTGCAAAAAAATTATTATAAATCCTTGTGTATATTACAATACTGTACCATTAAAAGCGGTATTGGTCACTATTCTGATATATACCACTTTTTTTTATTCAGGGTCAGATGAAGAAGATGAAAACTGTTCACAGCTCAGTAGAAAGTTGTCACCTCAAGTGAGTTTAATACAAATGTTTTTATCTACCTGCAAAATAAAGATACTGGACTAATACAAATTTGAAGTTATTCATTAGAAAATATGAAGTAGGAGTAATTTCAGTGGAGTCCCACTTGGTTCATTCTGGGTGGTGGATCAAGAATGCCCCCCCCCTCCCCCCCTCCCCTCCTCCCTCCTCCCCCTCCCCTCCTCCCTCCCTCACTCCCTCCCCTCTCTCTCTCCCCTCTCTCCCTCCCCTCTCTCCCTCCCCTCTCCCTCCTCCCCCTCCCTCCCCCCCCTCCCTCCCTCATATATATGTAATTATCAAAGTATAATTACCTAAGTGTAGCTACAAGATGAGAGCTACGCTCGTGGTGTCCTGTCTTCCCAGCACTCTTGGTCATATAACGCTTAGAAACTACTGACGGTTTTGCCCTCCACCACCTTCTCACTTAACTTGTTCCAACCGTCTATCACTCTGTTTGTGAAAGTGAATTTTCTTATATTTCTTCGGCATCTTTGTTTAGTGAGTTTATACCTATGACCTCTTGTTTTTGAAGTTCCAGGTCTCAGGAAAACTTCCCTATTAATTGTGTCAATTCCTGTTACTATTTTGAAAGTAGTGATCATATCACCTCTTTTTCTTCTGTCTTCTTTTGGCATATTTAATGCCTCTAACCTTTCCTCGTAGCTCTTGCCCTTCAGTTCTGGGAGCCACTTGATAGCATGTCTGCACCTTTTCCAGTTTGTTGATGTGCTTCTTAAGGTATGGGCACCACACAACCGCTGCATATTCTAGCTTTGTCCTAACAAAAGTTGTCAACAATCTTTAGCATTTCCCCATCCATGTATTTAAAAGCAATTCTGAAGTTAGAAAGCATAGAATAGGCTCCTCGCACAACGTTCTTTATGTGGCCCTCAGGTGAAAGTTTTCTATCTAGAACCACCACTAGATCTATTTCTTTATCAGAATTCTTTAGAGATTTCTCACATAATTTATAGGTCGTGTGGGGTCTATGTTCTTCAATTCCACATTCCATAACATGGCATTTATTCACAATATATTCCATTTGCCAAGTGTTGCTCCATATACTTATTTTGTCTAGATCTTCTTGAAGGGCATGACAATCATCTAGGTTTCTTATCTTCCTTATTATCTTATCATCATCAGCAAACATGTTCATATAATTCTATGTGTAATTACCTAAGTGTAATTACCTAAGTGTAGTTACAGGATGAGAGCTACGCTCGTGGTGTCCCGTCTTCCCAGCACTCTTTGTCATATAACGCTTTGAAACTACTGACGGTCTTGGCCTCCACCACCTTCTCACTTTTCTGTGGGGAGCCCCTACGGCTCCCTGGAGCTTATCGGGCTAATGTATGTTATGTTAGACCGGGACATTAGCTATGGAGTTCAGACCTACCAGGGACCAGCGCCAGAACCTGGCCCCTTCAGAGAGGTTTCAGGGAGCAATGGCCCTGGAAAACCCCATATGGTTGGGGGTTTTCCTTATCTGCCATCGACCGGGGTTAGGCACCCAGAAAGGTAGGCGTAACAAAACAAACCCCACATGGTAAAAAACTACAACAAAAACCGAACAGAGAGGTAGAAAACTCCCTACAATCCCAAGGAAAACAATCAAACAATCAATTTACTGCCGCGCCGGTCGTCCGCGCAGCCCTCCCCTCCCCGGGAGGGGGGGGGGGGGGCCCCGGACCTCACCACGCCGGCTGCCGTCAGTTCGCAAGCTAGTGTCAACCGGGATAGACGCTTCTCTGGCCTCAAATTCCTTGGCGGTGTTTGCCTCGTGTGGCGTTCTCTGCTGTTGTTGTGGTGTGCGGTGGCCAGGAGTACTTCATCAGTGCCGGGGCTGCATGCGCCTAGGGCTTCCTTCCCTAGGCGCCCTGTGAGTACTGCCCTTGCGTGTCAGGGTTATCTTCTCTGGGGCGTTCGGGAACCGCTCCCGTAGAGGTTTTTGCTGCTCGGCATTTGCCTCGCCCTTGGGGCCAGCTGGGGCTTGGGGCCCTTGTTTGGCCTTGGGTAGGGAGTGGTTTTGTGCTGGTTAGGGCGTCAAGGTGTTGCGCGGCCTGCCACCTAAGCGGCGACCGGTTCCTGTTGCTCTGGGGACGGTGTACTTTTGCGGGGTTTTTCTTTTGTTTTGTTTTTGGTTGCCTGGTGGAGGTGCTGCCTCGTGGGCCCATAGTTCCCCTGGTATTGTTTTGGTGGCCCTCTGCTAGGCCCCCGTGCTTGTACACGTCCCAGGGGTTTTCAGTATTATCATTTACCCGTGTTTTGTTTGGGTTTCTTAACCGGTTAGCAACACCTTGCCCGGGCTTCCCGTAGTTGCTACCCTACGGGCCCTGGAAACCCCTGTCGGGGCTCGGGGACCCATGGATGCGTCTCCCGAGTTCCAGCCTGCCTTGTGCGGGTTTGAAGGTTGCAGTGTGCCCTTGTCTCAGGGTGACAGTCACCTGTTTTGCCTCCGTCATGCTGCCTGTTGGGTCAATGACACCTTTGACCCGGAGTCTTGCGAGTCCTGTTCTCTGCTTGTGCTCAGGTTTTACTCTGAGGATGTTCCTATTAGAGTACAGGCAGCATCAGCGTTGCATGTTAGATTTAGGTTATTGCAACGCGCTAGGTCGGTTTCCCGCCTGGATGCCCCGAGGCTGCCCCGTTTTGGCTTTAGGGACCCTGACCTGGGGGCGTTGGTTGCTATGGCTTTGACTCCTACGCCCTCTGGTCCTTCCCCTGTGGTTCTTCCTGCACCTCCCCCCCTGTGTCCGGCTCCGAAACGTATGCGGTTTTCGGCCTTGGCACAGGATTTAGTTGGTGGAGAGACTCGGGCTGCTTCGGGGGCTGCCCCATCCGGGTCGGGGACGGAGGCATTTGAGCCGGTTCCTCCTGCCGAGGCTTCTGGGTCCCACCAGCAGGCCCCCTTCTTGTCTGCCTTTCCCTTGGACTCTACCTTTTCTTCAGGGGTAGAGGGTTTGGAGGACGGCTCTGCCCCGGGTCCCGACGTAGGGGATCCTGGGGCTGGGGAGGAGTCGGCCTGGGGGCCTTGGGCCCCCTGTGACCCCGCTTGGGTGCTTTTGCCTTCCCCACGGGGTTTATTGTTGCAGGGGGAGGGGTTTTCTTACCCTCCCTCCCTGTATGAGTATGATTTGGGTTCGGCTCCTCCCCGGGTTCGGTTCCGGGCGCCTTTGGGTACCTCGGCTCCGTCTTTACAGGGGTTTGCTACTTCCCGTCTCTCCGCGAAGGTGGCACGGGAAGCTCTTGCTGCATACCTCTTGCGAGACCCGGGTTATGCCTCCCCAATGGATCCGTCCTCGTTTGAGTTCGGTTCTTCTTCCCGTTTTTGGGTGCGTTTGGAGGTTCCGGGGTCTTCCTGGCTAGCAGACTGCCCTTTCTTTTCGTTGGGGGCGTGGCATGGGTTCTGTCGGACCCGCACGCTTGATTGGCGGGAGACTGCTACTTTTATGCAGGTTTACCTGGGGGGCGAGTTTGAGCACCTTAATGCGTGCTTATTCGCTCCTGTGCTTTCTCGGGATGTTGGCCTTTTCCAGCTTCACGTGCAGGTTCCTCAGCTTTCGGCTTCCTTGGTTGCGGAGGAGTTGCGCTCCCGTGGGCATTTGGCTTCGGTCTTGCGTTTCTTTTCCCTTCTCGAGCTCTCTTCTGCTTGGCTCGAGGAGGATGTGGGAGCGTTGAGTGAAGGGCCTTCGTCCGGGGCGCTTTCTTCGGCAGCTAGGGCGTCGGCTGCACTGTTGAAGCTCTTTGCGCCCATCCTGAAGGAAGCGGTGTCTCTGTTTTTTGCTTCTCGCCTCGCGTGCCGTCAGGCTGTGCTCGCCCTCTCTTTGGAATCCGCTTGGGCCCTGGCTCTTAGGTTTTCGTCTCCTTTTTGTCCGTTGCTGTTTGCAGAGTCTGCAGTGTCCCAGTTTCTGCATGCGGCTTCGGCTAGTTGTCGTCCTATGGCGGACTTGTTGATTCTCCGGAGCAGTCGTTCTCGGCAGTTTCGGAGGGGTCGTGCCAGGGTTTCGGGTTCCGCTGGTCGAGGTGGGCCATTGGTGCCAGTTTCTGAGCCGTTGTTCCCTTCGGGGCCAGCGTCGTCTGGGCGGCGCAGTGATCGCCCTGTTCGACGGTTGGGTTCTCGTAAGGGGCGTCGGCCCTTTCGCGGTTTGCCCCGTTGACGGGGCGATGGGGGGGAGGCTCGCTCTGTTTGCCCACGCTTGGTCCCACGATTTGTGGGCCTTTTCGGTCGTGTCATCCGGCCTGCGGTGGCGTTGGGCGACTCGTCCTCCTTTGGGGGGTTCGGGGCTAACAGGGCAGGTCTCTTCTCCTGCGCTTCGTCAAGTCATCTTGGAGTGGGTGCGCTTGGGCGTGGTCGAACCGACTACGTCCCTCAGGTGGGTTTCCCGCCTGTTTCCAGTGCCGAAACGGGACTGTGCGGATCTGAGGTTCATTCTGGACTTGTCCCGTCTGAACCCCTGGATTCCTTGCCCCTCCTTTCGGATGACTACTCTGTCTCAGGTCCGGCTTCTGTTGGAGCCGGGTGCCTGGATGGTGTCCCTGGACCTCAAGGACGCGTATTGGCACGTTCCTATTCATCCGGGGTTCAGGGACTGGTTAGGCTTCGTGGTAGGGCGTCACGCTTACCGTTTTCGATGCCTACCTTTTGGCCTGAATCTGGCACCTCGCGTTTTCACGCGTCTGACCCGAGTTGTGGTGACCCGTCTGCGTCTTCTAGGGATTCGGGTTTTGGCCTACCTCGACGACTGGCTGGTGTGGGCTCCCAGTCGGTCAGCTTGTCTGCTCGCCAGGGATTTGGTTCTTTCCCAGCTCGCCAGGTTCGGGTTCCTGGTGAACTGGAGGAAGTCCCATCTGGTTCCGTCCCAGGTTCGGACCTGGCTGGGTCTTGTTTGGGATTCTCGGACCGCTTCCTTGTCTCTCCCTCCGGTGGCGTTGCGGCGGCTGCGGGACCGCCGTTTGCTGTTTCTGAGGGGGTCCCGGGTCACTCGGCGGTTGCTCGAGCGGTTGTGCGGGAGTCTGAACTTCGCCATGCTAGTCTACCCGCCGGGTCGGGTTTGGCTTCGGCGTCTGTTTTGGTTCCTTCGGGGACGTCCTTTCCGCCTCTCTCGCGATCGTTGGGTTCGCCCTCCGGGGGTCTTATGTCGGTTGCTGCGTCACCGTCTTCCTCTTCGGATTTTTCGGGGTTCGGTGCCTTGGCGCCTTCCCGAGCCCTCGCTCGATGTGTTCACGGACGCGTCGTCTCTCGGCTGGGGCTTTGTGACCAGTGCTCACCAGGCAGGCCAGGGACGGTGGGGTCCGTCCTTCCATCGGGCTCACAGCACGGTTCGGGAGTTCGCGGCTGTCTGGTTCGCGCTTCGGAGGATTCGGGTCGCTCGGGGATCGACCATTCGCCTCCATTCGGACTGTTCTCCGGTGGTTCATTGCCTGAACCGCGGGGGTTCTCTTCGGTCCTTGGCTCTTTGGGGTTGGTCCCTTCGAGTGGTTCGTCTGCTGGATTCTCGGGGTTTGGCTCTCCGTGCGGTTCACGTCCGGGGAGTGTCAAACGTTCTGGCGGACGGTCTGTCTCGCTTCCTTCCCCTGTCCACGGAATGGACGGTCGACGACGACTCGTTTCGTTGGATCTGCCAGACGTACGGTCTCCCAGATGTGGACCTCTTCGCGTCGGCGTGGTCCCGGCGTCTCCCTATATATGTGACGCCCTTCCCCGACTGCGAGGCGTTCGCGGTGGATGCCTTTCGGCAGGACTGGTCGAGGTGGGGTTACCTGTACCTCTTTCCTCCGGTCCAGCTGTTGCTTCGGGTTCTGGTTCGGTTAGAGACATTCCCGGGGAGAGTAGTCCTCGTGGCCCCTTGGTGGCCGGCCCAGCCTTGGTTTCCGGTGCTTTTGGCTCGGTGCCCGAACCCGGGACGTTTCCCGCGGCTCCGCCTCTTTCAGCAGGTCGGCCCGATCCGGTACGGGGCTGGTTCGACCTTCTCCTCTGCTCTTCGCGTCTGGTCTTTTTGACGCGGGTGTATCACCATTTCTATGGTGATCAGGTGGCTTCTTTGATGGTGTCCCACCTGAGAGCTTCGTCTAGGCGACAGTATGAAGTTTCCTGGCGTTCCTTTCGCCATTTTCTGGCTCTTCGTAGGTTGTCTTTTCTTTCGGATCGGGTTGTTTTGTCCTTTCTTACTTGGCTTTTTCAGGACCGTCATTTGATGCCTAATACTGTCGCCTCGTATCGTGCGGCGCTGGCGGAGCCGCTCAAGCTAGCTTTCGGGGTGGACGTCACATCCGCCCCGTTTCGTAAGCTTTCCCGTGCTATGTTTCACCTCCGGCCTGCTCATGCGCCGCCTGAGCCGTCCTGGTCCTTGGACAGGGTGCTCTCCTATCTTTCCTCTCCTCGGTTTGTGGTGGCCCCTTCGGTTCCTGATTGTTTTTCCAAGGCTTTGTTTTTGTTGGCATTGGCCTCTGGGGGCCGGGTAGGGGAGCTTCATGCTCTCCTCCGGCGCAGGGGTTTCTGCTCTTTTGGTCCTGGGGGTAGGTTTGTCCGTTTGCAGCCTTCTCCATCCTTTCTGGCGAAGAACGAGACGGCTGCTTTCCGGAGGGGTCCGTGGGTCATTGATGCTTGGTTGGTTCGGCCGGGGGTGCATCATGTGTTGTGTCCTGTTGCTGCACTTCGCCGTTACCTGCGCGCTTCAGCCGGAGTGGCTGGGGATGCGCTTTGGGTTGATCCGGTTTCCCTCGTTCCCTGTTCCAGGGCTCGGGTCTCCCAGGTTGTCCGCAGGGTTATTAAATCTAGCCAGCCTGCGGTCTATCCTCGCGCCCATGACGTTAGGAAGTTTGCGGCTTTGGCTGCCGTGTTTGGTAATATGTCTTGGGCTCATATTCGGGCGCGTGGATTTTGGAAGTCGAACAGGGTCCTGGCCGCCCGTTATTTGGTGAACGTCCCTGCTCCTCGTCGTTCTTGTGTTGCTTTGGGTCGCAGGTTGCAGCCAGTTGTCTCGACTTCGAGTTGAGGAGTTTGTGGCCGCCGCCTCCCGGGTAAGTCCCATTTTTCCTTCTCTTTGGGTATGTAGCTCCAGGGAGCCGTAGGGGCTCCCCACAGAAAACCAGCGTTGAATGTAATGAAACGCCATTTTCTGGGTGAGCCCCGGAGGCTCCCTGGATACCCTCCCTCCCATCCGGTCGGCGGGATTTTTCGCGTTGGTTGAAGCCTAGTTTCCGAACTGACGGCAGCCGGCGTGGTGAGGTCCGGGGCCCCCCCCCCTCCCCCTCCCGGGGAGGGGAGGGCTGCGCAGATGACCGGCGCGGCAGTAAATTGATTGTTTGATTGTTTACCTTGGGATTGTAGGGAGTTTTCTACCTCTCTGTTCTGTTTTTGTTGTAGTTTTTTACCATGTGGGGTTTGTTTTGTTACGCCTACCTTTCTGGGTGCCTAACCCCGGTCGATGGCAGATAAGGAAAACCCCCAACCATATGGGGTTTTCCAGGGCCATTGCTCCCTGAAACCTCTCTGAAGGGGCCAGGTTCTGGCGCTGGTCCCTGGTAGGTCTGAACTCCATAGCTAATGTCCCGATCTAACATAACACACATTAGCCCGATAAGCTCCAGGGACCCTCCGGGGCTCACCCAGAAAATGGCGTTTCATTACATTCAACGCTGGTTTTTTCGCTATATATAAGTATCTACATTCGTGTTCACCATATCGAACCACTAAGTTGGTACGCTGAGTGGCAGTGGCAGCCCGCCACTGGCTGCCATTCCCTCCCTCCCCTCACCTCACCTCACTTGCCACCATTCTCCACCCACCATACTGTTTTTGCTTTTATATACAAACGTTATATATAAGTATTTACATGTTTTGTTCCCTATAACTGTACATCTAAGCTTGTATGGTGAGTAAAGGCACAAAGACGTAGGACCTCACACAGTCAGCTGATGGCTGCCGCCCTCAAGGCCAGACGCACTAATATTTCTCCTCCAACAATACTGTTTGTGGTGTTATTACGCTATATACACACATTATATATAAATATCTACCTGTTTTATTCACCGTACTTGTACAAGTAAACTGGTATGGTGCCCAAAGACCATCGTGGTCATCAGTAAACAACATGGCAAGTCCTGCAGACGACGCTCCTCCCTCACCAAAATGGCGGCTCCCAACGTACTCCTTTTGCTGTTTATACCCTCTACACACACGTTATATATAAGTATCTACATTTGTGTTCAACTTAGCGAACCACTAAGCTGGTATGGTGAGTGCAGTCAATAAAAGGTGGCCACACACAGTCGGAAGATAACGCCACTACCCTCCCCTCCCACAGCATTACTCCTCCCTCCATGGCGCACAGTGCTAAATATCACCACAATCCTGCTATTATCAGAACCCTGGTCAGTTTTATCACAGTCAGGGGTCTTCTGTAATAATATCATCGCTACATAATAGCATGAACAAGTATATTATGGCATTTTTAGGCGATGCTGTGGTCACAAGCTGAACAGCAGTGCTGTGAGTTCATACTGCGTGCGTCAGGCTTGGTTGCTCACTCAATACTGAGGCCCCTAACACCCGGGAGTTTGGCCCACGATTTTTTTTTAAAAATGGCATCTGTTTACAAGAGCCCTGATGAAGGTGTGGTGAACCCCGTGTATCCGCGGGCCGTTTAAATCTTGCGTAGTACTCCAAAGCATCACATGATGCGATGCGCAATTGAAGGGCTAAACTTTGCTGATTTTCTGGATGCTTTCCCAGTGGGGTGGCAAATTGTCAGTCACTCCCTGCACCTCTGTGAGTGGGCCAGGTTCTGACTCTGGAGCCCAGTAGGCTAAACAGAACTTCTGCAACTGATGTGATCTTTTAATATGGATGAATCTTGGCATGGCAGCTTCAGGGAGCCACAGGGGTTCTACCAGAAAGAAGCACTTCATTACATTCAATTCTGTTTTTTTATTGCATTTGTGATCTTTACAAGCTACCCACTGCTTGCATCACTGATCTCATCATTACATTAAATGAAACTCCTTGACTTTTGCAATATTATAAAAATCCTTTGCTTTACTTCTTGTTAGCTAATGTTACTTCATCTATGAAGAGTAGGACCACTTTGATATGAGTAGGACCACTTTTTTAAACAACCTAATTTTCAAAAATTTGCATTCATTCATAGGAAATAGAAATACAGAATACTGGTTTTGGAGCTCTACAAAGAGCTTGGGAAACGATTCATTCATCTGGCTGGAAGTTAGAGAAGGAAAGCTCTCACGGGGACAATATATACTCCAAAGAAGGCCCCAAAGGATCCAGAATATATAAGCTCACGGTATGTAGTAGCTCCTTGGCTAATTCTTCATGTATTGAATATATGATATGTGAATGCAGTTATTCCTTTAAGATTCTCATTCTTATTCATAAATAACTTTAATTGTGATTTCATTGTGTATTCAATTTTAGTTTTCTCTGGGGAGCCCCCCTTCCAGCTTCCTGGATCTATCAGGCTAATATACAATTCATTAGACCAGGGCATTAGTCAAAAAGAGTTCAGTCTACTGGGGACCACGCGCCAGAGCCTGGCTCCCTCAGAGAGGCACAGAGAGCAATGGCCCTGGAAAACCCCCCCTGGGGTTTGCCTTATCTACCATTGACTGGGGTTAGGCACCCAGAAAGGTAGGCCTAACAAAACAGACCCCACATAGTAAGAAAATTGCAGCCAAAAACCGAACAGAGGCAGAACTCCTTCAATTCCCACGGAAACAAGGAAACAAGCAAACGTCACACCACACCGATCTTCTGCATAGCCCCCCCTCCCCCTGGCAGTTGGTTCCTGTTTCCTCTGGTGATGTTGTACTTTTGCAAAGTTTTTCTTTTACTTTTTGTTTTGTTTGCTTGGTGGGGGTCTTCCTGGTGTGGCTAGAATCACTTATAATATTTTGGTGGCCCTCTGCTAGGCCCCTGTGTTTGGAGTTTCTGCTTCACAGGAGTTTCAGTGTTTTGATCTCCCCCTTGTTAGCTTTGGGTCTAAACGGTTATCAATACCTTGCCCGAGCTTCCTGTAGCAGTCAGCCTACAGGGCCCTGGAAAACCCTGTCGGGGCTCGGTGAACTTATGGATGCATCTTTGGAGATCCAGCTCGCCTCGTGCAAGTTTGAAGGTTGCTGTTTGCCCTTGTCTCAGGGTGACAGTCATCGTTTCTGTGGGGAGCCCCTACGGCTCCCTGGAGCTTATCGGGCTAATGTATGTTATGTTAGACCGGGACATTAGCTAAGGAGTTCAGACCTACCAGGGACCAGCGCCAGAACCTGGCCCCTTCAGAGAGGTTTCAGGGAGCAATGGCCCTGGAAAACCCCATATGGTTGGGGGTTTTCCTTATCTGCCATCGACCGGGGTTAGGCACCCAGAAAGGTAGGCGTAACAAAACAAACCCCACATGGTAAGAAACTACAACAAAAACCGAACAGAGAGGTAGAAAACTCCCTACAATCCCAAGGAAACTAGCAAACATCACACTTTACTGCCGCGCCGATCGTCCGCGCAGCCCTCCCCACCCCGGGAGGGGGAGGGGGGAGCCCCGGACCTACCGCGCCGGCTGCCAAGCTCCAGTTCGTTCGCTAATGTCAACCGGGATTGACGCTTCTCTGGCCTCAGTTTCCTAGGCGGTGTTTGCCTTGTGTGGCGTTCACTGCCGTGTGTTGTGTTGTGCGGTGGCCAGGAGTACTTCATCAGTGCCGGGGCTGCATGTGCTTAGTGGCTGACTTCCCTAAGCGCCCTGTGAGTACTGCCCTTGCGTAACAGGGTTATCTTCCCTGGGGCGTTCGGGAACCATTCCCGTAGAGGTTCTTGCTGCTCGGCATTTGCCTCGCCCTTGGGGCCAGCTGGGGCTTGGGGCCAGCTGGGGCTTGGGGCCCTTGTTTGGCCCTGGGTAGGGATTGGTATTGTGCTGGTTAGGGCGTCAAGGTGTTGCGCAGCCTGCCACCTAAGCGGCGGCCGGTTTCTGTTGCCTCTGGAGACGGTGTACTTTTGCGGGGTTTTTCTTTTGTTTTTCATTTTCTTGCCTGGTGGGGGTCTGCCTAAGGTGGTTATAGTTCCACTGGTAGTGTTTGGCGGCCCTCTGCTAGGCCCCCGTGCTTGTACACGTCTCAGGGGTTTTCAGTGCTATAATCTACCCTCTTGTTATGTTTGGGTTTCTTAACCCTTAAAGTGCGCATCACTTCATATGAAGTGTAAATCGTTTTACCAGTCAACTGCGCTTCACTTCATATGAAGTGTATGGCTACCGCGCACGATTTGAATGGCCCGCGGTGTAGCTGGGGGTCCCATACGCTGCCCAGGGGCTCTAGTAAACAGCGGCCATTTTGAAAAAAAATCCAGCTCACGCTCCGATGGCATGGGAGGCCTCAGTTTAGCGAGAGTCACCATGGCGAGCGCACGGTCAAACGCCTCACGAGCACGCATCACTCAGTCCCTCACCCCAGAGCAAATAGCCCACGAATTATTCTCTGAAGGTGAAGAAAGTGTGTTTGACGATTCAGACAACGATGAGGATTATACACAGTTGTCGGGAGATAGTAGCAGCAGCAGTGAAAGTGAGAATGACCGCCATGCCATGGCGAGGCCTATACGCTCTCCCATGCCTCCTCGCCCATTTTCTACCCCAATTCTACCACGACCTCACAGTTCCTGTGGATATTTTCTGTTTGAGGGTGACGAGTCAGAGGGAGGTGACTCCTTTTCTGGGTTTAGTGACTCAGATCAAAGTTTTATTGAGCCTGTGGCTGGTACCAGTGGTGTAACTGGGCGAGAAATTGTCGCGTCAGCAGCATCTCGCCCAGCCAAGCGCCACTGCATGGCACCACATGAGGCACCAAGACCCTCGTGTTCACGTGCACCCACCTCACGTGCACGTAGCCGCCGTGCTTCTCGCAGACGGTATTCAGCTCCTGGTCGCCGGTATGCATCGCTTCCTCGCCGTCTTTCCTCTGCATCTCGCAGGACGCCTGGTGTACTTGAGTGGAGTGATGGTGACGATTTTATTCCTAATATTCCTCACTTTGACGATAAAGATGTAGGGATTACAAACCTTTTCCCTAATCAAGGTGAGGACATGGCTGAGATGGAATATTTTACAGCATTCTATGATGAACCACTCATGGAATACATTGTACACCAAACGAACCTGCATGCTGCTTACCTGATTGAGAGGGAAATCACCGAATTTTCACGACTGCAGCGTTGGAAAAATACCACAGTGGCGGAAATGTATGTGTTTTTGGCACTCTGTTTGTTGATGAAGCACTGTCACAAACATGCAATAAATGACTATTGGAGCAAGGACAAGACAATACCAACACCTTTATTCGGGAAATATATGTCACGAGACAGGTTTCAGATACTCCTCAGGTGTCTACATTTTGGAAGTGTTCAGGACCGAACACCTGATGATAGACTGTGGCGAGTGAGGCACTACATGAACGATGTTATTGGAAAATTCAGAGATTTTTACGTACCAGCACAGAAGCTGGTGGTTGATGAATCTCTCATACTTTTCAAGGGACGTGTTCCATTCAAACAGTACATTCCCTCAAAACGAAACCGATTTGGCCTGAAATTTTTTGTTCTTTGTGATTGTGAGACAGGATACGTGTTACACATGATTCTGTACTCGGCTAGTGATGTAGACATTCCCGGTAACGACGAACATGGATTCTCGGGGAGTGTAGTGAAGACCATCATGGCTCCGTGGATGAACAAGGGACACATTTTATACACAGATAATTACTATACAAGTCCCTTGCTAGCTCGGTTCTTGCTAGAAAATAGAACCGGATTGGTTGGTACAGTAAAGCCACAACGAAGGGAAATGCCTGTGTTTGACAACGACATTGCAGTTGGTGAGTGTCAGAGAAGGAAAAGTGATAACATTCTGTCAGTTCGGTGGAAAGACAAAAGAGAGGTGAACTTGTTGACAACAATTCATGATGGAACAATGGTGAACAGTGGGAAAGTGAGCCATAAAACAAACGCACCACTATATAAGCCAGACTGTGTTTTAGACTATAATATCAACATGCGGTTGATTGATAAATCAGACATGATGATTGGCACTGCAGAGTGTGTGCGGAAGACATGTAGGTGGACGAAAAAAAGTGTTCTTCCATCTTGTGGACATGAGCATGCTGAACTGTTTCAACATGTACCTTGTGAGAACTGGACGTAAGCCCACTTTCCGTGACTTTGTATTTGATGCTGCAATACAGTTATTAGGAAAGTTTGCAAAAGATGTCCCAGGTATTCAGTGGCCCATCATAAACCCACTGTTGCAGCATGCTGGTACTCCACGCCTCGCTCACACTGAAGGCTTCCTAGCACACAAACTTAAGTATTTGCCACCTGGTGTGAAGCGTGCAATAGCCCAACGTGATTGCTTGGTGTGTAAAACAACGACACGTAGAGACAAGAAACGGAAGCTTGTGCAAACATGGTGTGAAACGTGTGGTATCCCATTATGTGCTGTCGACTGCTTCAATGACTACCACAGTCTAGAAATCTTCTAAGTGTGCTTCAAAGTGTGTATAGCGTGTGCGAGTGTGTAAATATGTAAACATATAAGCAGAACATATAATATAATAGACTGTAATGACATATTATATTGCCGTAATTGAAAACATTTGTGTGCGCCTGTGTATACTCAAATATGCAACAATTATTGATACAAAATATGTTCAAACAGTATTTGAAACACAATTAGTGAAAAAAAATTAGATAAAATGCGCTTAGACATTGTAAATAAATAGCGCGAAAATATATTTGTGGCAACTCTGGCTGTTTGAGGACCGCGCGCAACATCTCCCGGGCGTGTACTGCATGAGCGACCATGCAGATTGTGACGTCATCGCAGAGCTTCTCGGCTCTATTGCAACAAAAGTAAGTACAATAGAATTTTTTATTTATTTTTCCCGTGATCAGTGAACAGAACTTAACAGATTAGCAAAAAAAAATATTTTTTTTTTTTTCAAAATGACATGCGCCTGTGTGGATAGCAGGATATTAGACCCCGAGCATGTTAAGGGTTAACCGGTTAGCAACACCTTGCCCGGGCTTCCCGTAGTTGTTACCCTACGGGCCCTGGAAACCCCTGTCTGGGCTCGGGGGACCATTGAATGTGTCTTCCGGGTTCCAACCCGTCTTGTACGGGATCGTTGGTTGCTGTTCCCTTGTCTCCGGGTGACAGTCGCCATTTTTACCTCCGTCGTGCTGCCTGTTGGGTCACTGACACCTTGACCCGGAGTCTTGCGAGTGTTTCTTTGCTTGTTCTCCAGTACTCTC